ACCAAAAAAATACCCTCCATGGCATTACAGAATGACATCAGAAGGATATGCTCATATGAGTGCTGTTCTCTCTGTGCTTCTGTGATATTAACATACATTGCATTCTCCAGATTCAAAGATATATATTTAAAGGTGTTGAAAGATGTTGCCTACACCTACACAGATGTTCTCTGTGTTTTACCAAAAGTTGCCACCAAAGGCAGGTGCACCGTAGTGGTATCAGGAACAGAAGCAGACATACTTTTAAACTAAAAAGATGTCTCAAGGACATGTTCGGTCTCAGAAACCATGTTTAGTTCTTAAATTGAGAATTTAGTTCTCTCCCAAAGTTGCTATTGTTCCACATTTTTTGTTCCTACAGGTAAGGAATTCGGAACCAGAAAAGCCTAATTGTAAATCTCCGTGGCCTAATGCTGATAATTTTGCACAGACCAGAATAAAAGACAAGTTCTTCACTGCTAGCCTTACCTTTGATTTCACACACGGCCATCTTTATACTTCCTTTGCTGCCTTTACAAACATCATCCTGTGAATCGTAGTAGGACAGTATCCCATTATCCAGAACAAACCAGCGAGGCTTCCAACCTAAGAAAATAGCAGAAAAGAACATTCATCTGTTAAATTTCACATAAACAGCAACACCATGCTTCATATAGAACTTATAGCTGAAATCATGTTCATTCACATTGTGTTTGGGAGTAAATTATGCCATTTTAATAATACACAGAGACTAACCTACATCTTCAAAATAGATGTTTACTAGATAGATAGAAAGACCTAAATAAGTCATCTAAAGAACTTGAAATTGAGAGAGTTTGGTGTAGTGGTTAAGGCTCCAGGCTAGAATCCAGGAGGCTGTGAGTTCTAGTCCCACCTTAGGAGTGAAAGCCAACTGGGTGACTTTGGGCCAGTCAATCTCTCTCAACCCAACTCACCTCACAGGGTTGTTGTTGTGGGGAAGATAGGAGGAGGAAGGAGTATTAGGTATGTTAACCGCCTTGAGTTATTTATAAAAATAATAATAAAGGTGGGATAAAAAAAAGTCTTAAAAAATTGCTGATAAATTTCACTCATTCTTCTGCAATTCAGTCTGCTGGCACAGATGGACATATTAAACTTAAGCATCTGATGTTTGTTTTTCTTTAAAAGATTTGTACAGCTGCCCATATTATATAAAATAGCTCTAGGCAGCTAACAACAAATAGAGTGATTAATTATAGATAGATTTTCTCCAAGCAACAAGCAGAGAGATAACAAGATCCCCAAAAATGAAAAACCCTCTGATACCATCAAGCACCATAACAATCTCATCACAAAATCACAAATGCCGGGCTCATCTCCCCTCCGGACCTGAGGGAAGAGGCAGGTCTTAACAGCCTTTTGGAAGGCAAGGAGGGTAGGGGCCCTCTGCACTTCAGCGGGGAGGCGGTTCCACTAGGTAGGTGCAGCTATGAAAAAGGGTTGCTTTCTAGGTCCTACCAGATGATAGACAGGGGACCTGCAGCAAGCCCAGCCTATCCAATCTGGCGGGGTGGGTAGATGTCCTCAGGGAGAGGAGGTCCCACAGATAACCTGGCCTCCTGCCACATAGGCTTTAAAGGTGATAACCAGAACCTTGAAAGAAACTGGGAGCCAGTGGAGCTTGTATACAGCAGTATAACATGGGTAAACTGTGGGATGCCCAGAACTGCACACGCCGCTGCATTCTGGACTAGTTGGAGTTTCCAGGTGGTCTTCCAGGGCAGCCCCATGTAGAATGCATTGCAGTAGTCCAGATGGGAACTGACTTGGGCATGAGTGAACATGAGCAGGACCTCCCAGTCCTAGAATGGTGCAGCTGATGCACAAGATGAATCACGGCAAAGGCCCCTCTGGCCATGGCTGCCACCTGCTCTTCGAGCAGGAGTCACTAGTTCAGGAGGACCTCCAAATTGTGCAAGAATCCTGTCCAGGGGAGTGCTAACCTGTCTAAAGTTAAACATGGTAACTCTTCAGATCCCGGGGACCCAAAAACCCAGAGCCACTTTGTCTTCCTAGGGCAGAATTATAGCCAGTTCCTCTCCATCCAGATCCACAGCCTCCAGGTACTAGGTAAGCACCTGAATGGCATCACCTGTCCAGCCTGGGGCAGAGATGTACAAATGAGTATCATTGGTGTACTGATAATGGACCCTATGCTGCTGAATGACCTCACTCAGGGGCTTCATGTAAATGTTAAATAGGAGGGGTGAGAGAACTGTGCCCTGAGACACCCCACATAAGAAAGGCCTAGAGCTTGATCTCTCCCCTACTGCCATCCAACACCAACTGGAACTGGCCGCACAGGAAGGAGGAGAATACCATAAAACAATGCCCTCACTCCCAATCCCCTAAGCCAGCCCAGAAGGATACCATGGTCAATGGTATCAAAAGCTGCCAAGAGATCCAGGATTGCTAAAATGGATGCACCACCCCCATCCTGAGCTCTCTAGAAGTCATCCACAAGTGGAACCAATGCCATCTTACTACTATAACCTGGCCTGAATCCCTAATGTAAAGGGTCCATATAATCTGCTTCTTCCAGGGCCTTTCAGAGCTGAGTGCTTATCACCCTTTCAACAAAAGGTTCGAAACTGGATGAAAGTTGTCCAACACTGTCAGGTGCAAGGATGGCCTCTTGAGAAGAGGGCAAACCACCACCTCCTTGAAGGCCAGAGAAATCACCCCTCGCACATGAGTCCAGAACACAGGTGGCAGAGCTCACAGCCACAAGTACCCTGATCACTTCCTTGGGACCAACTGGCTAAAACACTACCCAAATAATCGAGTTTAACTGGAACCTTTACTGCCCACTGACACAAAGCTAATTATCTTGCAGTGGTGAAAAGGCAGAGGAGGATGTCATTTAGCAACAGTTACATAGTGAATGGGTTCACATACCATGCTAACTCCCAATGTGGTTTATTCTATTTCAGTTTAATATGTTTTGTGAAGCCTGCCATTGTGATTTATAAAACCATGGTTTATGACTTAGTATAAATGTAAATCTTATTACTGTGATTAATCAACAAACCATGGCTTACTGTAATTTATGAACAGGGCCATTATGTGTATGTGCACACATATTTTTGTTTCAGTATGCTGTGCCACCCACTTAGTAAAACAGAGCTTTAAGAAAATCTTTGAAAGATAATCTTTTCAACCAGCAGCATCTGCAGGGTATATGTGTGTTGGGCTTGGGGGAAGGTTAAAATCTGCAAGATGATGAGCACAGAGTTAACTCTTTTGTATGTGTGTCAATGCTGCATGCATATACAAAAGGGGCAAGCCTTGGATTGTGACACCCACCATCTTGCACCTTTTGATCCCTTCCAACTGAAACAAATCAGAACAGTTGCTTTTATCAATTAAAAGGAAGTAATCTTGAAAAGGTACTGACATTTTAGAATGTGCAGCTTCACTTACATTCCATTAATTCAGTGGTCAAAAGCTGGATATTACCCCAGACTCTTAACCCAGGCATGAGATACATTTCAGGATGAATTCTGGATTGCTTCTTCAGATAGTTCCTGCAGGGCCACATGACTTCAGTGGGCAGGACCAGGGCCGTGCACCCGAAAGCTCCATTCCCAGATATAATCTGGCCAAGGAGAAAGAGCCTAGGTTTCAAATCAAGAGGCTCATGGTCCCTTTCTAATCCTAATCCTATATCCTTGCCTCTATAGACTGGCTATAAATGTCTAATAAAACTCCAAAAGACATTTAATTATCCATAAATATCATGGTCATTTTTCTCTTTTTGTTTTTGGATGGATGGGATATATACATAAATATATATATTGTACCATGAGGAAATACATCCCATTTAAAGTATGTATTGAAAGCATACTTAAAAATTAATGTAAAGCATTCTAAAAAGCAGATAGAATATAATTGGTGGCAATCCTAGAAATACAATAAAGGTCTCAATCATTTTAAACACACACACACACTTTCTTTGACTACTCTGCCAAATTACAAAGTAATATTTGAAATACTTAAGAAATATTTTAAAAAGAAGCCCATGCATTCCAGATCTTACACTATAGGTGTAGAACCAAGGTGTCCCTACAGAAGACTCCATAGCTGGGACTTACTGAAAACCAAAGCAAAGACCCTTTGATCCCCTGCAGTTATTTCTGGCCCTGCCACATCGCTCTAGTCCTCATTTAAAGGACTGAAGAAATCATAAGAAAGCAAAGGTAAAAGATTGGAAGATGTCAATACCTAACTAGCACCCACGTGCTCTCATGCCCAGTTTAACAATCTTCATACAGTGCAGAAATCTGAAGACTTGCACTGAGCAGAATGAGAAAGGAACAACAGAATCAACCAAAGGCTGTGGCAGAGTTGTCATGCCAAAGCCCTGATTAAGCAATTTATGGATCTCACTGCACCAATCAGCAAGGCCCTCTGGTTCTGGATGCAAACAAGGCTTTGCTAAACTGACCAAAAGAGCATGGTATCCTTTACTGTCAGCTGCCTTCGTAAAATGAGAACAGGGAACGAAACATCAGCTAGAGCCTTGTGAATTGTGGAATGTATATATCTTCTGTTACTCTCTACATATTCAAGAACAATGAATATATATATTTGTATGCCATCCCATAATGTAAAAATCTTTTTAAGCAGGCAGCTTAAAAAGAATAAGCATTAAAAGAATTTACATATGTAAAACTCAGAAAAATCAAAAGCAATCTAAAACACAATAAACAAAAGTCACCGCTATTCTAAATATACCTGTCACTGCAGGGCAGCCTGTCTCACCTATTCCACAAATTAGGCTCCATATAAGAAACACGTAAGCCATGAGTAAGCGATGCCATGAGTTTGTTCTGTCATGGCTGATCTTCAGAATTAATGGCAACTACAATACCCTGTAGTTAAGTACTTATTCTTGCGTCTCGCATTTCTCCTGCTTGCTTACAGGGTCTGCTTATTTTCTACTGCACTTGCTGCACTTCTTATAGTGAAGCTATCAATGCATGATGTGACAAAAAGTTTCACTTTTCAAACAGCTTATTGCAGAGTCTGATGCTGTACTTAAACAAGTCCTGACTCTATCCTTAAGTATCTCTCATATTATAATTGGCTGCATTTTGTGAGAGACACCAAAACCTAAGGAAGCCTGCTTTGGTTGCAAGCTGACTTCAACTCCTGTAACAATATGGAGAGAGCCATGGGGTGTTTGGAAGTGCTTTGTCACTGTTTTCTTCCAAGATGTTTTTCTTATAGTGTTGAAAATTCCTGGGGGTCTCCCATCCAAGTCCTAACCACAACTGACACAGCTTAGTTTCTGAGCCCAGATAAGATCAGCCAGAGGCCCCCTGCTACAACACTGACATTTTGCTATCTTGAAGTGTGTTTTGACATTTATCTTCCTTTACATAAGGGAACCTAATAATGTAAATAAATCTGCACCTTAAAAATGGCAGAGAAAGCCAACAACAGATAAAAAGGAAGGCCTTGAAACTGCACTGCAAAACTTAAAAAAAGGACAGAAGCCTTTTGAAAAAATGGTTTGTTTTAAAAAGTTTTTTTCAAGTTAACGTCACTCTAATGACTTCATGTACATGTTTTATGTAGTTTTCTCAGTAAAAATATAGAAGCAGTTTGTACCTCTTCCAGAATGTGTGTGTGGGTATGTCTTTAATTACTCAGTCTAGTTATATTCTTGGGAATTGCCAAGCAGCCTTGGGTTTTAGTTTAGCTTCCAACATGGGTCAAATCTGTGGAACAAAAAGTGCATGCAAGCAAGGATAAGCATCTGCAGCCCCAGAAAATCAGTTTAGGCATTTAGGGGGATAAACTAGGAGCCCCTTCAGGCCAAGGTGAGCTTTGTTGTAGGGAAAATAAAGTAGTAATAGATTTTTATAGATTATTGACAAGGTGCAGGAAGAAGTATTTCTTTTAAACAGTCAAGCAACTACAAAAATCTGATGTTTCAAATCTGGGGCTTTTTTTCTTACTTTTAATTGTAAACTTCCCAGGGTTGTGGGGAATCAGGTGGCCTGTAAATTGTATAAATAAATATCAAATAACAACAACAATCAATAGATGCTTAACCAAAGGCACCAAATTTCAAACTATTTCAAGCAAACTATCGTGTCTAATAAGCAGTAAGGGGAAAAACCCACTTTCATCTATTTTTTAAGTATAATATTAGGCAGTTTTCCTTTTGAATCTCAAGGTTCTTATGAGAGCCATCCTGAGAACTCTTCAGGTTACCAGATGAAGCAAACAGGAGTTGTACCTTTGAAATGCATGAAGTACCACCAAAATGACTCATTTTAAACCACGCAAACTTTCCTGAAATGGTTCTTCCTCACTGATAAACCTAATAATGATGAAATCAATTATAGGACAGTTTCAACTACCCTCTTATTTTCCATCCAGAAAGACCTAACCACTATCATCTAGGGAGCCAGTAAAACAAGGGAAGAGTGAAAGGGAAGTAGGCTTCCTTTTGAAATAAAGATTCAGGCTAGAAAGATTAAGGGGTTACCACTAAACAGCTGCTAAACTGTTGACATGCTGAAGCCTGCTTTAAGTCAGGGGTTTATGCCCCCCACCCCACCCCACCCCACAAGATGTCAGTGGACTTCTCCATCATTCCTAACGACTGGCTGGGACTGGTGGGAGTTGGAGGCCAGCATCTGAAGCATCAGGTGCCACATCCGCCTGCTCCTTCATCTTCCCCTATTCTGTCAGCCAGCAGCCCTGCCTCCCTTCCTACAGGACTTTGACCAGGCAACGCCTAGCCTTTTCCCCTCTTCCTGCTGCTGCTGCTGCTGTCCATTGCCCAGG